TTCCCCAAAGTCGCACAGTGATGTAGCCAGGGTTGGCTCCCCGTGGTCTGCTCCACATTCCTCACGCTCTCTGATGGTGCCACGGAAGCCTTTAGCACCTATGCGTAGGCTACATACATTTTTAATGATCTCTGTGGCGGTTTTGTTAAATGTTCTCATAAGGGAAAATGTATCTAGTACAAGAATAAGACTAACCTTTTTCACCTGTAATAAATTTGAAAGTTCTCTGCTGGAAGTAGGTTTCCCTGAGAGGAATTAGCCATTGAAGCTGTGTTTAAGGGTTTTTCTAGGACAGTGACTCTCGAAGGTTTTCGTTTCAGAAGCCGTCTTGCTGTTAAAAATGTTCAGAAACCTACTCATCAGTACTATATTTGGAGTTAAAATTGAGAAGCTTAAAATATTTACCAATCCCTGTAAACTCACGATAATTCAGCTTACATAAATAGGATTTTAATAGAAAATATGTGTACTTTTAAAAGCATTTTTGAGACAGGAGCTATGGTTTTATCTTAGAGCAACTGTCTGGGTTTAAAAATTAACTGGATGTTCATATCTGCTCCTACATTCATATTCCTTTGGGTAACTCCATGTAAACTCCTGAGAAAATAAGTGTGAAAAAGACAACTAATGTCAAATAATGATTATTAAATCATTTTTTAAATTGTTTTATTAGGGGCTCATACAACTCTTATCACAATCCATATATACATCAATTGTGTAAAGCACATTTGTGCATTCATTGCCCTCATCATTCTCAAAACATCCACTCTCCACCCAAGCCTCTCCACCCAGCTCCTCATTTTTCCCCTCCCTCCCCGCTTCCCCCTCCCTTATCAAGCCTTGATAATTTAGGAATTATTATTTTGTCATATCTTGCACTGTCAGACGTTTCCCTTCACCCACTTTTCTGTTGTCCGTCCCCCAGGGAGGAGGTCACATGTAGATCCTTGTAATCGGTTCCCCCTCTCCAACCCACCCTCCCTTCGCCCTCCCAGTATCTCCACTCACACCACTGGTCCTGAAGGGATCATCTGCCCTGGATTCCCTGTATTTCCAGTTCCTGCCTGTTCCAGTGTACATCCTCTGGTCTAGCCAGACTTGTAAGTTAGAATTGGGATCATGATAGTTGGGGAGGGGGTGTGGAGGAAGCATTTAGGAAGTAGAGGAAAGTTGTGTATTTTTGACCTGGGGGACGCTCTGAAAAGGTCTTGGGTACCACCTGAATGGTCCCTTGACCACAGCGTGCGTTCTGCTGCTCCGGGATATGCTTCTTGCACCAGTCTATGGTCCAGGAAGGGTAAACGGTAGGGTGCCAAGTCAGCAAAGCAAAGAAAGTAAAAGGAATCATTTGAATATCCTTGGCCATTGAATGAAATTAGGAAGCCAAGAGATGTCATCTTGACAGCATGATTTATATCACATTCCCAGAGAATGGCCCTTGTTTTAGTAGTTTGACTGTTATTTATATTGTTGTTGTCTGTTGCCAGTAAGTGGGTTCTGATTCGTAGTGACCCTGTGTACAACAGGATGAAACTCTGCGGTCCGTGCCATCCTCGGTTGTTCTGGCATTCGAGCCCATCATTACAGCTGTGCCAATCCATCTTGTCAAGCGCCTTCTGCATTTCTTCTGTCCCTTCTCTGCGCCAAACATGATGTCTTTCTCCAGGGACTGGTCTCTCCTGAAAACATGTCCACAGCATGTGAGACGCAGTCCGGCCATCCTTGTCTGTAAGGAGAATTTGTGTTACTTGCGTCTAGCCCTTTGTGACTTTTTCTTGTATCTTTAATGTAAAAAAAAAGTTTGAATGGGTATTAGGTGGTATTTGAACAAGTCAAATAACAGCAACAACAAAAATTACTGCTACTTAAAAAAAAAAGGTATTTTCCCTTTTCTCTGAGCTAGGAAACAGACCAGTAACTGATCCCAAAGCAAGTCTCTACGGCCGGGTAGAGGTAGAGTTGCTGTCTATCTTTTTTTTTTAAATCATTTTATTAGGGGCTCATACAACTCTTATCATAATCCATACACACATCAATTGTGTAAAGCGCATTTGTACATTCATTGCCCTCATCATTCTCAAAACATTTCCTCTCCACTTAAGCTTCCAGCATTAGGTCCTCATTTTTCCCCTCCCTCCCCGCTCCCCCCTCCCTCATGAGCCCTTGATAGTTTATAAATTGTTATTTTGTCATATCTTGCCCTGTCCGACATCTCCCTTCACCCACTTTTCTGTTGTCTGTCCCCCAGGGAGGAGGTCACATGTAGATCCTTGTAATCGGTTCCCTCTTTCCAACCCATTCTCCCTCTATCCTCCTAGTATCACCACTCACACCACTGGTCCTGAAGGGATCATCTGCCCTGGATTCCCTGTATTTCCAGTTCCTATCTGTACCAGTGTACATCCTCTGGTCTAGCCAGACTTGCAAGGTAGAATTCGAGTCATGGTAGTGGGAGTGGGGAGGAAACATTTAGGAACTAGAGGAAAGTTGTATTTTTCATCGTTGCTACATCGCACCCTGACTGGCTCATCTTCTCCCCGAGACCACTCTGCAAGGGGATCTCCAGTGGTCTACTAATGGGCTTTGGGTCTCCACTCCGCACTCCCCCCATCATTCACTATGGTAAGATTTTTTGTTCTGATGCTGCCTGATACCTGATCCCTTCGACACCTCGTGATCGAATAGGCTGGTGTGCTTCTTCCATGTGGGCTTTGTTGTTTTTGAGCTTGATGGCTGCTTGCTTACCTTCAAGCCTTTAAGACCCCAGATGCTATACTTTTTGATAGCCGGGCACCATCAGCTTTCTTCACCACATTTGCTTATGCACCGGGCTGTCTATCTTTACCAAATCAGACTGTGTCTTCTTCCTTCTGTGGAGCTTTCCAGTGGTGGACCTTTTAGTTAGCAGATGAGCTCTCCATCATTGTGTCCTCCAAAAAGAGAAAATCAGAACTCATTGTCAGTGAGTCAATTTTGACTCATAAGAACCTTTCCTAGGGTTTGTGAGACTTGATATCTTTTAGAGAACAGAAAAAGGCCTCGGTTTTTTCCTTCAAGGGGCTGATGAGTTTGAACCAGTGACCTTGTGGTTAGTGGCACACTGATCCAACAGAACCACCAGCGCTCATAGGTTTTCTCTTTTCATTCTCCCTCCCTGCCTCATCATGGCCAACACTTGTGCCTGTGTGTGTGTATGAGATAGGAGATAGAAGAAGAAAGGAAACAGAAAGGTTTTCCATTGTAATTAACATAAGGCTCCATGTGGAGGTGGAGGTGGAAAGCAGTGAAAGATCAAAACATACCCTGAGGGTGCTCTAGACTCCATCATCTTCCCGCAGAATTACAGATGTCTCTTGAAAGGGGAAAGGGTCTCTTTTATTACACACTATACAGCAGTGGGAGGTTGTGGTGCACCCAGTGGAGAGACTGCGTGGAAGGAGCCCCAGCAAGTTCTGGGTTTTATCCTGATGTTGCCACTTTTTTGTCCTGGCTCCTGATCGGCTCTCCAAATCTCAGTCTATCTGCTCAGTGGTGACAGTAGTAACAGCAGTCACACGAAAATGCTTGGCAAGTACTTCACAGCAGCTCTCTGAAGTACATGGTCTTGTCTTCATCTCCCTGTTTGACAGAGGAAAGGTTAGACACACATCTAAAGTCATATGGCTAGTAAGCAACTCCATGACTAGTGGGGATTCTTTCTGGCTCTGAAGTCCTTGCTATTACTCCTCTCCCTTATACAGTCTTCCTATACCCACCTTTTGGGTTTCCTTAACCATTGAAAGGCTGTATAACAGGTGTCCTCAAACTTTTTAAACAGGGGGCCAGTTCACCGTCCCTTAGACCGTTGGAGCGCCGGACTATAGTTTAAAAAAAAAACCTGAACAAATTCCTATGCACACTGCTCATATCCTATTTTGAAGTAAAAAAACAAACAGGCCCCAAACACCCAGTGGGCCTGGATAAATGTCCTCGGCGGGCTGCATGTGGCCCGCGGGCCGTAGTTTGAGGACCCCTGCTATATAATATATGTAGCCAGGAGTCCTGGTAACACAGTAGTTTAGTGCTTCGCTGCTAACTGAAAGCTGGACGTTCAAATGTTCCTTTAGAAAGATTATAACGACATCTCCCTTTAGCCACTTTTGTGTTGTCTGGCCTCCAGGGAGGGGATTATATGGAGATCCTTGTGGTTGGTTCTCCCTTTCCACCACACCCTCCCTCCACTCTATGGAGTCAAAGCCTCATCTTTCTTCCATGGTGTGGCTGGTCATTTCCAACTGCTTCTCTTGTAGTTATCAGCCTAATACATAATCCACCATGTCACCAGAGCTCCTTTTATTTTACTTTATTTTAATTTTTTATTGAGACCATTTTACTGGGGGCTCCTACAGCTGTTATAACACTCCATGCATAGATTGTATCAAGCATATTTGTATATATGTTGCCATCATCATTTTCTAAACATTTACTTTCTCCATGAGTTGCAGTCTGCCAGAAGGCAATGTGTTGGTTGGTTTATTTACGTGAAAGGCGCCTGGCCCCTTTGACCGATTCATTCCTGGCTACGATTTTTTTCTTCTTCCCCTTCTATTACTTCCTCATCCTCTTCATCCTCCTTCCTCTTGGCGCATGCCCTACTCTTAATCTTCTTTATTTTGTGAAGATCAGTTAACTAGGTTGTGCTGTTTTGTTTACCCCTCCTTTGAGCTTATTGTTTCTCTTGTCCTCTGAGCGTAGTCTTCCCGATACAGGTTTGGGTTCCTTGGCTACAGGACTTCAGATGCCAACTGTTACACCCCCCCACAAGTTTGAGGATCGATCCCCATTGTGGCAGAAATGCCCTTCATTCTGATTTGAGGAATTCTGCTGTGGAATTCTTGGCCATGAATTCTGTCACTTTTTTCTATCGTTACGTGTTGTTGTTTCTTCCATTTCCTTTCATGATAGAACACGTGAGGATCCGGCACCATCAACCTTTGTTATCTGAGTGATGTTTGTCTTAGAGTTTCAGATTGCCAAAGGACAAAACGGGCACCACAAAGATGGGTGACCTGGCTCCCCAGGACATGAAGAAAGTCTGTTGCTTTGCGCTGGTGGAGCTCACTGCCTTCTCTGACGTGCTGGGTATCGAATTGAAACAAGAAAAAGCTGTGAAAATCAAAACAAAAGGTAATCTCCACACGAAAACTAGACTCATTTCTAATGGAGAAAGGTTGTACTTGGCTTTTGTTAATATTCTTGGAAGAGAAAAACATCTACAAAATAAACCAGCCTTTGAAACAGCTGTATCTCTGGCTGAAAACATCGGTTTTTAGAATTTTGTCACAGCCCCACAGACAGTACAAAAGAAAAGGCTGATCAAATAATGTGATTCCGGTGGAAGCACATTCCGAGTCCAGGAATCTCAGCTCACATGCGTTCTCGTTTGAAAGGCATCTAATTAAAAAGAGGTGGTTAATGCATCCACTCATTTCCACAATACCATATATACTCGAGTATAAGCTGACCCAAATATCAGCCGAGGCACCTAATTTTACCACAAAAACTGCATTAAAAATGTGCTGAAAAACTCGGCATATACAGGCGTATATAAGGTAAGTAAGATTCTCTCTTTTTTTAAGTTCTTGAAAAATGACTTTCCTATGTTGATCCTGAATGATTACTGCTCTTATTCTGCTGAAGGAAAGTTCATCTAACGGGTCGTTAGTAATCTTTCCCTCTGTCCATTTACGTTCAGCTGTGAGCTCTTCACCAAGATCTTCTTCACTCTCTTAAGATCAGCTACCGTACATGATACCACTGACCGGTAAGCTACATCGGTGTAGTTTTCCATAAGCAGCTCCCTTTCCCTAGTATCTAAACAGAATTCATCTTTTATAATATGCAGAAAAAGACAGCCACCATCTGACGTGGGTTTGTTTTCTTTTTCCCTTAGACTTTAGTGCCCCTGGAACTCGATAAGGTTCTATTAACAAAGCCTTACTGTTGAGGAATCTCTGTCCTCTTGTTTAACCTTAAAGGTATCTCCTTAAAGAGAAACCAAGAAAGAGGATGATTGAGTTGCTATGGTAACCTTAGCAGAGATAAGTGCTCACCTGATTTATGTTTTAGAGGTGATTTCTCTGTAGGTCTGAGGGCTACTATCCCCTCAGGTTGTCTGTTCCATGCTGGGTCCCAAAGGGTCTCTTTCTCTGCCCAGTTCCTCTGAGCATTTTAAGTTGAGACTTGGGATGGTGAATTTACGAGTTTACTAGTGCTTTTGATTTTCCACTGTCCATTATGCCTAATGAAGTCTTCGGGTGCCCTTTTTAGAAGCTCTTAAGAAAGCATTCTGCAAATATAAAATAGAAATATAATTTAAATATTGCTGGAAACTTAGAAAGTGGCCTATAGAGGTTTTAAAATGTTATTTTATAGTGTTACATCTTAGCAGAAAGGAAAATATTAAGCCATTCTTATTAAACATATTACTGTTAATAGAACAGATTTCTCCTATCTTTTATATATCTGTATATCATATCAAATTTATTTATTTTCTGTACTAGACCATTGGTATTCTTAAAGCTTATAGAATTGTGGTTTGTTTGTTTTCTTACTGGGTCACTGGCATTCCACTGAATGACATCTCAGTTGTCATGATTTCTGGTATCTGTCCTCATATCACGAGGTAATTTTAACTTTCTGGGATCACAATTGATTTATATCTAACTGCACGATGTCTGCCATAAAGGAAGCAATCATTACCACCCCTGTGTTCACTCTCTGCCACTGCCCGGGAGAGGAGTCGAGGTGCTGGGTAGACAAACTGTGCTTACGGCAGACTCGAGGGTGTTCATTTTAATTAAACAAAAAAAAAAAAATCAAATGATTACCTTTAATTGCTTCTGGAGTTAATCACATATGTGTAAAACTACAAATTTAAATTCAAGAATGCCAAATGTCCTACACTTACCTAAAAAAAAATTGTCAAACAAGATCATAATACTGGTTGGTATCCCAAAAAGCAAATCTTTTATTTATATACTTTGCTGTATTGTAGAATTTTAAATGTTCATTCAGTGTGAGAGCGATGAGTGATTTTGCTGTAAGGCAGAACTTTCACTTTGATTACATGTAGTCAATTATTTATATACTTTGTGTAAGCCTGTAGCCTTTCATTTCTGTGGTGGAGTAGTAGTTTGCACTTCTCCAATGATTTCAGTGATTAGTTACCCTTAGTTGTCAGCTTGTCTTAGCTTGCTGTACTGCTCTGTAAGCCTCCGTCACCCTGGGGGGCTGTGGAGGCCCGCGGTAGAAGACAGTGGCATCCAGTGAGTAGATGCTCCACAAGGAGTTGTCTGTTGAAACACAATGAAAGAAATCTTGGGCCTTACAATTTTTTATTCGTATTTTATAGATTGAGTGAAGTGAGGAAGTCGTATGCTCTTTTTGCAGATTCTGGCCTTTTTGGTGTTCCATTGACAGTATTGCTAGAACAAGATCAGAAGAAAGTACCAGGAACACGAGTACCCTTGATCTTTCAAAAAGTAAGTGGATCTGAGTGGGCAGCTTCAAAAGTGCATAGGTCAGCTGTTATTTATTTATCTATTTATTTATTTGATTTTACATCCAAATTGTGACCGTTTTCCAACTGTTGTAGCTTTTTATTTTGTAGCTTGATTTTCTATTCAGGAACCAAATTTGCTTCAAGGGCTCATAATTTTATTTCATGGTGATGCTTTCAGTGTTCTTACTGTAACTGTGATTACCTGGCATGATTTTCCTGTCTTAGATTAGCTGGCTTTGTATAATTGAGATTTCAATGCTACAATAAATAGTCGAAGGGCCTGCTTATACATTTCCTGGGAATGGAATCCTCATGAATATTTTACGGGAACACGTATTTCCCAAGCTTTCCTATTTACAGTGAGGATGTCCAATTTAATTTAGCAGTGCCTACTTCCAAAGTAGGTAAAGACACCATAAAGTGGAATTAGAAAATGATTGCTAAACTATTGAGTTACTTGTGTAGTCAACACTCAGTTACTCATAAGGGAATTATCCATGGCAATATAAGCAGTTCAGTCCAGTCTCTAAGCCATAATTATTGGAGACACAGATTATTTTTAATAATAGAATAGCTAGGAAGGTAGGTCGGCTTCCTTCTCCTGATGGCTTCTAGAATCAAATGATACATGGATGTCCCAAGTATAGATCCTTCTCACTAACCCAGACATATCGCAGCTTCTGAAATGTCCGGGGACAGCAAGGGTGAAGATGGGAACTTTGAAGGATGGTTGGTCTAGCAAACTCATCCAATACTAAAGCTCTGGCATGCTGCTTACCTCTGGTTCTTTTTTCCCTTGTGGCCACTCTTAAACACAGTCATATGTCTCACTGTTTCTCCTGATGAGCTTTGTGCTTCACATTTTTTTTCTACTCATCTGCTTCTACCAGCTGTTATGATTAGATAGTTTATCAGTTGTAGCTATAGCTAACATAGAGTTGCTGACAGATATGGACAGCATCCTCACATTCTTTTAATATAGATAGAGGCAGTTATTTTCCCAGTAAATGGCAAGGTTAGGTCTCTGTTGATGTCAGTGATACTTTCTGACCAGGCTGAGGATTTCATCCAGTCCTGGAAAACCACTTGGTCATTTGTCTTAATGGCTAGTTATTTATTTATTTAGTTTAATTTCCAATTCTCTGTCTACTCACTAGATTGAAGTAATGGGTAATGGTGCCCTCTTTTCTTCCCTGCCCCGTTGGTTCCAGTGCTTACCGCCAGGGTTAATTTGCCAGAGGAACTAGCTCTTCAATTCCCAATAGGCCCTGACTTTGCTGCTGTTGTTGTTGGTAGGACAACTAATTGGCTCTGACCTCAAGGAGACCTTATGTATAAGACAACAAAACATTGCCTGGTCCTGGGCCATATTCATGGATGTTGGCTTTATGTTTGCCTAAAGTTTGTTGCATTGTTGTTGTAAACAAACTCATAGACATACAACCAACTGTTATAGCCTTGACGGGTCCTCATAAAAAGTCAGGTTTGTTTAATCAATGGAAGATCTTCCCCACTTGATGCTTTCCTGTGGATGACATTCTTATCGTTTAAGTCAAGCATCTTGGAGTTATCTTCGACTGCCTCTCACTTTTGTGCAGCGTATCCTGTCAGTTCCTCAATTTCTACCTTTGTAGTTATCTTTAATTACTCCTTAGGGCCTTATTGAAAATCCCTGGATACCTCTTGTCCAGGGTTATTAGCTTTGAATATTGGATAGTTTATTTTTTAATAATTGCGATTTGCAACTACCTTGCCTGTAAAATAAAGACAATTCTTACTTTTGGGGTACAAAACAGCTGCTTCTAACTTCCTTCTGTTGGTTTCAGTTGTGGTTTTCTTGCATCTGCCGAATCTGTGGCCTTCAAATTGTTGGAAGAAGTGGATTTTTAAATGTATATTTACCCAATTTTACTGAGGGCCTTCAAAATTGTGAGAAATTCTATTATCTCTTAATTCCATTTTCTACACATGTTTTGAAGTCCTTTGCATATTTTAAATTTGACATTCAAAATCATAATATGTTTAAATAGATGCAAAAGGTCTAATTTCTAGTGTCATATAAAATATTGACATTTTAGAATGGAACTTTTATGTTGGTCTTTTAAATGTATCCAATACTCAATACCAGAGCAATTTAATGTTCATTATCACTCACATGTACAAACAAAACTACATCCATGCATGGTGACACTATAGGAAAGAGTAGATTTGCCTCATGGGGTTTTCAAGGCTGTATAATCTTTGTGGAAGTAGATGGCAACCTGTTTTTCTCAGGACAGCTGGTAGCCTCAAACCACCAACCTTCCACATGCCTGTTAAGGGCTTTAGCCATCAGCCACCAGGGCTCCTTTATACAAAGGAGTGGATTATCAGATGGAAATTTTACATCATTTTTCCCCCTTCCTTGAAACTTAATCACTATTTAAGGTGACCAGATTTTAACATTGGTAAAGCGGGACAAAAGTGGAACACCATTGATAAAACTCATATCCTGGCGAAATAGCCACATGGCAGCTGAAAAACGTATGCCCCAGCTTGTCGTGCATTCTTCCCAAAAATTGGGACATTTTTAAAACACCGCGGGATGCAGGAAAAATTGTTAAAAATTGGGACTGTCCCGCCAAAAGCGGATGTCTGGTCACCTTAATTGTGCACCAGAGTCACACTGTTTGAACTATTATAAAAAATCAGAAAGATTTGGAGAAACAGAATTAGTACTAGTGAGTCGATGGAAGAAGTTTGCCTTATAACCTAATGGCCAAATCTCACTATCAAGCGAATCAGCCAAAGCAGTCATACTTTGCATCCAAAATTTCTGACTTAATTTTTCAATTCATATAACTAGATGTATTTTGAGAAGTTCTATGAAGATTACTGATGAATTACAGACTATATCTTGGATAAGTTAACCAAAAATGGCCTGACTAAAATAGATTAGGGTGACTATTTTTCATCTATGTCTTAACGATAAGAAAAACTATACACTATTTATTCTTACTATATTACATTATTTATACACTAGCCATAGAATATAATGTGGTATCTGAAAATGATATTTTCTAAGTGAAAAACATGACAAAACAGGGCACTCCCTCAGTCCACATATGCAGAGCTCATTGATTGCTAGTTTTCAGCTTTAGAGAAGAATAAAAAAGACTTAAATATGAAATCCCCAAATTACTCCCATCCAGTTATTTAGAAATCACCATAAATTTTTCTTGTGTGTTTAATGCAAGTGAAAGGCACATGCTGCTGAAGACGAATTTGTTCTAGAAGCTAGCACATAATTTGATTGTGTGTTTTGTTAATGCATGATAGAAACATTGTAAATATTTCAAAAGAAGAAATAGCATGAACACTGCCTACGCATTAAATACATTTTGCAGGGTAAGACTTCATAAAGTTGATTTTTACATTCCCTATCGAATAATGCGTACTCTAAAATAATTCTTGTATTACTTTTTGTGAGGTGTTTGATCCAATGTAATTTGAAAAATGTGGTTCCCCAAATCATTCCAGCTGAATTTTAGAAAAGTCATGTACTGCCTTGACTGGTCAAAATAATAAATCCTTATGTCCTTTCAAGAATACTCTTTGCTTGTGTTGTTCCAGAGCTACTCAAGATCTGTGCGTTCTTTGGCTGTAATCTAGATAGAAGAAGTGAGGCCATTAAAGAAAAATTACTACCCTTTCCAGTGTCTACATGGTACAATAGATGTGATGTCAGTAAAGGTAGACAAAGGTCAAAAGGCCTCTTTTATAATATCATACTTTGCTCCTAACAGATAAGCAAGGTAAAAAGACTAAGCTTTATGTAGATTATAAAGCTAAGGTTAATCATTAAAGAGGACTTCCCTGATTAAAGAAAACTAAAAATTTAAATACCTTGGGTGTTCTAGAAGGCTTTATGCTTTAGGGCATGTAGAAGAGAATATTTTAGCAAGATTTGGGCTGAGTGAACGGTAGGCCTGCCTTTGATAAGTGAGAAAAAGAGAAGACAATTGGGCAAGTGGTAGAAAGGACTGGTGAGTGCCCATTGGGCAGCCATTCTGTGGCCAGCTTCCTATCCAGAGGCACTTAGTTTCCCCTGGGCAGCGAGCCCACCAGTCTCATGCTTCCAGCACCATTGCTCTGCACACACATCACAGACATGCTTAGCTCTGTGGTTCTCCTTCCGGGAGCTGTGCAGTTCTCTGTTCCTGCTTCGGAGCTGTCTCACTCAGTGGAATAGCAAAACTGACCTGTCCCCTCATTAAAGTCCTTTACACTTTATTTGCATGCTTCCACCCAATCATTTCAGGACAATTACAAATCTATGGTTGGAAGAACTATTTCAAGTAATTTCACTTCACGGCAACACTTAGATGTGAATATTTGGGATCAGTGTTTGACTTTATATCATAAATAATTCTCTTTTTGAGCAAACTAAAAATGAGATGTAAATGTACAAATACTAGAATTTCATAAGATCGGTTTGATTGCAAAATGTATGTTTCTGGAAAATCAGAATAAATGGCTGTTTTTAGTTGCATTTAAAAATGAACATCTATCTCCCTTTGTTTGGAGTACCACAGCTGTTGTGTGAAATAACATATTTGTGTTACAAAGCAGCATAAGACCCAACTTTTTTCTAAATTATAACTAAACTTTTGGGATTTGTTGGTTTAAAGGATGGTGATATTGTAATAGCATTCAAAACCTCATAAAATCCGGTTTGCATGGCATTGCAATCAGTTTTCATTTATTTATATGTGAAGCAGATGTTAAATTTGGAATTGTACCTGTTATGAATACCGAATTCAGCATGTTCCCCTCTTTATACACAGTTGATATCTCGAATTGAAGAGGGAGGTTTGAAAACTGAAGGCCTCTTACGAATACCTGGGGCTGCCAATAGAATCAAGGTAATCTCTTGTGCCTACAAATGGAATATTTTACTGTTTTAATTTTCCTTTCCTATTGTAAAAGCTAACTTGCCCTCTAACCTTCTATTGCTAGTAAGGAGGATAAAATGGAAGTAGTAAAACCTTTTGTAATTCAGTTTGTATTAAGTTCTTCTACACTCCCTTCTGATGTTGTGTTTTAATTTTTCAAAATCACCGTATTACTTCTATTATTACTATAATATGTGAACATGCAAATGATTTTAATCAGTGCACTCTGTAAAAAATAAAATAGGAACAAAAGGCAACAACAACAATAACAAAAGTAGTCGTATCCTTTTGGTGAACAAAGACCATAATAAATCAGATTATTTCTAGCAGGCTGATGACGGAACCCCTGGGGAGCACCCATGGTTAAGAGCCCAGCTCAGAATCCGCCCAGACTTACCTGAGAAGATCGCAGCCAGAGAGCGTTTCTACACGGAGACACATGGGGTTGCTAGGGTGTCAGAATGCAATGGGTGGCTACTGGGTTTGGTTTATTGAAAGATTTAGTCACGATGAGTTTTGTCACTTGAGTTCCCAGAGAAAGAAAATACCAACACAAACAGGCAGGGGCATGGACTCTCCTGAGTAAGTAGGATCCCTGCTGGTCATCCTGAAAAGCAGACTTCTGAGCTGACACCAGGACATTGTCTCAAAGGCTCTCCTTGATGGAGCTCCTCCTGCCTGGCCAGGGTCCCTCTCTGTCCTGCTGTTGGGAGGCTGGCTTGAGGAGCAGGCGTGGTGATCTCCAGAATTACCTGCTTTACACTCTCTGTGCCTGGTTTCCTTTTCTTTCTTTCTCTTCTTTTTTTTGGAGGGGGCGGGGCTGTCTGTGGATATTTGCTTCCTAATTTTCTTCCAGTTCTGTGTGTCTTCCTGGTTTCATCTCTTTTGCTCAACTCCTACTGTAGGAAATCAAGTTTCCAGTAACTATGGGATGGAGGGGTGGGGGTGGGGGGTGTCTGGTGGCATAGTGGTTATTCATTGGGCTGCTAACTGCAAGTTCTACAGTTCCAAACCACCAGACACTCCCTGGGAGAAATATCAGACTTTCTCCTCCACTAGAGCGTTACAGCTGCAGAAACCCAGGGCTCTCTTCCGTCCTAGAGAGTCACTATGAGTTGGCATGGACTGCATAGCAGTCGAGTTCGCTTTGATTCTGGAAAGATAACGATGGAGGTTATGCATATGATTATACATAAAATCAAAAAGTTTGTGGAATGACTCTATTATCTTTAATTGTATATTCTGAACAATGTTGAAGCCCCCTCATAATATAGAGTACTATGCTTCCCAGGGTGTTTTATATTTTAAAGGTGCCTCAGATTTGGAATTAGATCTCTTTCTATGGAAAATGTACTTAGGCAATGCTATTGGTTAGCAGTTATTAACTCTCTGTTACCCTGGCTCCCTTGCTAACCCAGCCTTTTTTCCAGGTAACTGCGGTGAGATTGTCACATCTGGTATATTATCTTCCGGAGTCTGGATATCCCAGAGAAAGTGGGACAAGAGCAGAGATGTTCTGTTGACTTACGTCGCCTTGTTCTGTGTGAAATACTTAGTGCTGGGCCAGGGGACACGGCTCGTGGCTGTTAGTCCCTGTCCTCACCAGTCGATAATGTGTTCCGATGCTGCCAGGATTGGAACGACTATTTATACCTTCCATAGTTTTGCATCACCTGCTAGGTTTAATACATTTCTGCAGTGAAAGACATGGTTTTCCCTCTTCATTCTTACTACACCCTGCCCTATGTGAATTCTATTACTAATTTTTTTAAGCAACATATAAGAAAAATGGCCTACCACACTTGTGAAAATAACTCCACGAGGAGTGCACCATTGGCAGAAAAACAAAACAAAACAGAAAACAAGCAATGCAGAGTATGTCCGTTCTTAGCGTAAAGGTCTGGTCATCCCTCAGCGACGGGGTGGCGTTGACGTCAAATGACCCCTATCAGAAGATCACCGTCTTCCAGTTCTGTCCACAGCCTGTGGGCCCTCACCCACAGAGCACGGCAGCCACCTCACAGAGGTGAGCAGCACGCTTGCGTTCGTGCAGAATCGTGAGCATCCTGTGTGTTTTACAGGGTCACAGGAAGGCTGTCAAAAGGATGGGTCCAAACTAAGTGTAATTTCGAAAAAGCCCAATTAAGTGGCGTCAGCTGCCTCAACTCTTCCACTCAGCCTGTTGTTGCACACCAAATTATGCAGCAGCTGGTCCATTATGAATAATTTAAAAATAATATGTACAATTTTTGGTTCGCTCGCCCCTCCATTCCTCCAAATTTCTTTGTATGCTTCATTCTCTGTCTCTCTCCCTTTGTATGCCTTTCTCACTCTTTCTCTCCTATTTCTGGGACCTTCTTCATATATTCCATTATTATAAAAATAATTGGAATAGAGGTCTATGGTTATGCTGAGGAGAGAAAATATAAAAGTCTCAAAAAATGAAAATGTTCTTTGAGAGAACTGTTTCAAATAATAGAAAGCAATGACAGAAACTTGGAATGATTTCTAGCAGTAGGATTTATGCCATTTTGAAAAGCATACAGAAAATAGTAATTTTGAAACTCAATTGATTTATTAGTAATAAAATGCCTGGCAAAATTTTGTGGAGCCAGTGTGGTAAATGAACCAGGTATTTCTAATCCGACGTGGGTTCAAACCACTTTGGGCATTTGGTCTAGGAGGGCTATGTCTCGGCCTATCTATTTAAGACAGGTGTGTGGACCTTGATGTAGTTTAATGCCTCCTTTGCTATGGAACTTAGTTCTCCATTTCCCAGCTGTGACTAATCCAAGATAATCTTGTTGTAGGCCCAAAGACTGATTATGTCTTTTATAAAACTTGTTTTTATTGTGAATTAGTTGGTGGGCTGGGTGGGAGGGTGAGGGGGGTATATTTCAGACCATCAACTCTGCATTCAGCAGTTTAAACCTCTCATCGATCATACCGTCCCCTGATTATGTCTTTTAGTTATGTAATACAGTTGTATATAAATGCAAACATAGGTTCCTTAAAATGATTTTTTAAAATTTTGGTTAAGAATAATAGTATCTGGGTCAAGCCAAAGGAAAAGACTATCTTTATTAGTATTCCAATTAAGCCTTTACTTGTGTTGAATGTACAAGAAGTTGAAAAACTTTAAATGTTTTAGCCATTGCTACTTTTTTTTTTTTTCCGATTATTAAGAGATGTGGATGGGCCAAGGAAGGGGACAGAGACATGCTGGTGTTTAGGATTTTCAGATGTCTGCTTCAAGAGCAGAATCTCTACACTGTCAGGAGCCCTGGTGCCTTAGTGAAGTGCTCAGTGGGCTGTTGCTCAGAAACTCCGCAGTTAGAAGCCACCAGCCACTGTTCATGTGAAAGATGAGGCTTTCTACTCCCAGAAAGACTTCTTCAGCCAAACTGGCTGCCTGTGAGTCAAAACGGACCCATAGCAGCTCTGTAGAACTGCCCCTGTGAGAGTCTGAGGCTGCCATTGTTCACGGGAATAGGAAGCCCCGGGCTGACCTTCAGATTTGCAGCCCAGCGAGTATCCACTTCTCAACCAGGGTTCCTCTAAAGACTGATAGCCTGAGACACCCACTGGGGGGAGTTCTCCTCCGTCAGAGAGGGTTGTGATGAGTCCCCATTGCCTCAACGACAGTGAGCTTGGTTGTTTGAGTCTAAAAAATGCATCAGACTCTCAGCCAATAGTAATAATAATAATAATAATAATGTATTTACTGGTAGTGTTTTGTTTTTCTCTTTTCTTTTGTCTTTCAGAATCTTTGCCAAGAACTTGAAGCAAAGTTTTATGAAGGGACTTTTAACTGGGAAAATGTCAAGCAGCACGATGCAGCCAGCCTTCTGAAGCTCTTTATTCGGGAGCTGCCCCACCCGTTGCTCACTGTGGAACACCTGCGAGCCTTTCAGGATGTTCAAAGTAAGTGGCCTCCCCCCTGGGGCAGCCGTGGTACCTCGCCCTGAGGATTAGTTGCTTTTCATGGCAAGGAGTAGAACCAGAGATGTTGGAATACACATATTGACTCACTGATGTTAACGGGCGGTGCTCAAATGCCATGCCATTTACACTATGAATATACGTCTCCGACTAAGTAGATAACAGAAGGTTCTCTCAGACACACCACAGTTGTGTGGCATTTCAGCAGTCTAATCTATCTATCCATCTATCTATATTTTTCAGTGTTAGAACCTGGGATTGTCAATTCCTTTTGTAATAGAATGAGTCACATAGGATCTCTGATACACTTTTCTTGCCAAGTGTTAAAAGCAACACTGACTGGAGAAGCTGTGGATTAACAGTTATCATAAAAGCATAAAGAGATGTGGCCGTCTGTCAGCATTTCCTGAGAAATTAAGTTCTGAAATAGTCATGCAGAAACATGAAACAATGCATGTTGGTAGAAGGCAGGCAACCCAAACTTCTTATGCCTTGCCATTGTGTGGTACTGGACAAGCTCCAAATTCATACTTCTGACAGTTCTTGACTTCTTGTCACAGGAACACAGAGTTAACATGAGGCTTATGAATTGGCATGATTATCCCTTTTACTCTTTGAGGCCATCCAATGAAATTACTATATTACACTTGAGTGAGAATTTAATGACTCTTCCAAACTGAGACCCTCGTGAAAGTAAACCAGGGCACTGCTAATGATCGCGCTGAGTTAGCGGTCAGCCACAGTTGTTCCAGACCATTCACAGAGCACGTGAGGCTTCACCTGGCACCAGAACGTTTCTCTCAAAATTTGTAAACGAGAAATGGCTGAGTTTATTTTCTATCTGGAATATTTTTCTCGGTGAAGTTGTGCTATTTTACATACGCTTGCTGGATATGAGTGGAAGGACTCTATTGATCCCTGGGAAACAATTACAAGAGTGATTTCCAATATCCATAAGTATTGCATAAGTGGAATAAGCGATCCTGCAAATGACGGGCAGCGCATGTCAAAATGCGCCGTGGCGGGGCTTCGGTGTCGTCCAGGTGAGTGTGACTCATACTTGTAGTCCGCTCTAGGGCGCGCCTTACACAGTCCTGTTGGAATTAACAGGCTCTGAGCCATGTCGCTTGCCCGTTGACCATGAAAAGAAACAAACGTGACAGACAGCGCTCTGACACCGTGTCATGGGATGACCCATCTTCTCTGGTCTTTTCCCTGGGAAATAATGATCACACCGAAGTTAGAAATTATGTGCAGAGCGCTGTCGAGTGTCTGCAAACATAAGGCTGCGAGTCATCTGATGGCAGTTGGCAGGGAGCATTCTGAGAGAGCAGAAGTGCTTCACAGCAGCTGCGTTGCCGGATCTCCCACAAACACACGCGTCACGGGGCTTGCTGCTCAGTCCTCGTGTGTACCAGAGAACTTTTTCTTAAGAAAGAAATATTAAAAAAACTATTCAGCAAAGAGTTCAGGTTGATTTTTCATGTGTCTGCAGAGCTTCAAACCAAGAAGGAACAACTACAGGCCTTGAATCTCCTGGTCATCCTCCTACCCGAAGCCAACAGGGACACGCTGAAGGTCAGCTGGATTTATTTACATGAAATCCCCTTTAGAACGCAGCAGAATAATTCTTCTCTGTGGCAGCACAATAGGATCTGTGTCTTGGGAATGCTAACCCATTGGGCAGCATGGAGAAAGTGGATCTTTAAGGGCAAATAAACAAAGAAAGCCTTTAAGCACTTCATTAATTTGTTCACTAGGCTGGTTATGTTATTGGTACCATGACTTCTTTCCCCCTTAAGTTTTACACTTGAACATTTCTTAAAACATAACAGATCACCGGGGTTCATTTATTAATGGGACCATGAGAGGGTTTTGCTTGTTTCCTTTCTACTTGTCTGCATTTTTCAAATTTAATTGAGCATATACTTTAAATTTGAAAATAAATGCTTACAAAGTGGCTGAGTCTCATCACATACCACCCATTGCTACGATGCTACTGTTTGCAGTTCAAAGGGATAGAAAACCAAACAGCAACAACACCCACTGCTATTGGGTCAATTCTGACTCATAGTGACCTTATAGGACAGTATAGAACTACAACTTTGGACTTCAGAGACAGTAACTGTCTGTGGGAATTCAGAGCCTCGTCTCTCGCAGAGGAGTGGCAGGTGGTTTTGAACTTGCGGCTGTTATTACTTGTCCCAAACTGTCTGGTGCAAAAAAATAAATATTTTCACTAATGATCAGAAACTTAATTAGCTAATCCTAGCGAAGGTTTTCAGTATGAATTTGAATAATAATTGAAATAACTATGACTTGTGTGTGAGAGGATAAACCATCTAAATTTAATTCGGTTAAAGAGAAAGGATGCTCCATTGCAAAGTAATTTCAGGAAGCCCAACACAAAGTTCTCCAACTTAGAAGTACTAGGTCCACTCATTCACTCTGTGTATGTGTGTAAATAGATAAGGCACCTGTAGGGGAAGGGTCACGAGTTGTATCAAATATTTCTACCAGACACCTATAGGTGATGAGACACCATGCTAAATACCATGTTGTGGTAGGAGCTCAAAGTGACAGGTGTCTTTGGGTCAGCTGCTTAATCAAGATTTTACTTTTACCTTTGATCATTGTGCTTGAAGACCGTACCTCCCTCTGGCTAGGAGGGTTTTCAGATGCCCACCAAGCACCCATGACAACGTTACCATTGACACCTTGCGGGCCCGTTTTGTCATCTCAGGAAGCTCTGTGTAGGCTTTGTCTCATCAATTCTCACAGGCCATGAAATGAACATTCCCCTTTTACAAAGGAGAAAAAATGTGAAGATCAGGGAGATGAAAATTTCTCTAAGAAAATTTCTCCCCGTAGACCGAAGTTTTCAGAGAGTGTGCGTAAAGCGAATGCTTTCAGAGAGGGACTTCTGATCGCTCCAAAGACGTGAGGGCGCTGCAGTTCTCCCAGCAAGGGCTGACCTAGCCTTTTCCTTTTTGTTTCATATCTGTACACACGTGTGGACGCATTCTAGGATCCTGGTGGTACTATTTTGAATAACCTTATCACATATGCACACCACAATTAAGATGGTTTATTGCCTAATCTCTGTAATTTATGCCCACAGAGAAAGAGATACACTGGTCCCCAAATAATTATTCTGGTCTCTGTGGAACAAAGTTAAATATTTCTTCCCAAACCTCTAATTAATCTTTTGTCCTCATTTGGGAATGTGTTGTTTCCATATAACCTTATGCTTGGATTACAATTTAACTTTCTAAGCACTGTACCAGAAATTAGGCACATAAATCTCTTTGTTAGCTATTAAAGCTGTGCCTGGAGTTTGCGTCAAAATGTTGAGGTCTGTGTAGCAGCTACATGTGTTGAAATGTAACCTGCTAGCGCTTCGAAAGGTGTTTTTGTTGATGCTTCTGAGTTAGAGATAACCCTTCCCCTACCCCCTGTTGTGATTCTTTTCCATTTTGTTATAGTTTATTTGGCCTTTTTAAGGGCAGAATCTGACATGACCTTTATTAGTGAAGCATCCAGAACCCACAGCCAGACAGACATGCAGCTACACTTCTTTCCCACCGTTTTCTAGCCAGGGGCCCCGTGGTAAACTACCTTACGTTTCACGTTTCTCTTTTCTCACCTGTACTCTGGAGATAATTATGGCGTCTAATAGATCTCCTTGGGGCAGAGTAAAGACTATGTGAACCGATCTCTAGCATTTGCTTGATTCAGTGCCTCATACATGGAAAACATTGCCTGCCTGTGTGGTGGTGGTTATCATTGGTAGACCCAAATTCATTTCATGAAGAAAGCAAAGGATGGACTGAATGAACTGTGCCATCAAAAGAGGGATCCCTGTCACCAGTGACATTGGGGAGGGCAGGCTCAGGGCCCCCCACCCCCACCCCCAGTCTCAGAGTGGAGGTGGTCCCAGGGTAGCCTCCAGCTCTGTAGAGTCTAACTTCTTGGGTTGAGAAGTTCCTTCTCATTCGTTCATTTGTATCTTGAAACCCCTGTTTCCTGTGTCTCTCCTCGTTCCACTTCCTCCCCAGTCAGTTTACGTTCTTTCTGTGTGTTATGCCAACTATTGATTGCTTCAAACCAAAGCAAATGGAGAAGGGGTGAACTTTTTAAAGATAATCTTTCTTTTTTAATCTCTGGGGATAAAGGTCCAACTCTTCCTTGAAGCAAAAGAACATTTGTATGATACTTAAAAATGCTTTTCAGGGCTCCATGGCTGATATATGTTTCAGGACTCCCTCTGACTACGAGTGGTCATTCCCCAGTGTTATGTCCCTTAACAAACAACAACAAATCTCCGTTGCCGTATGTGCCCGCCCAACAGGCAAGCTTTGATGGGAGGCCTGTTCTATGCAGCTAGCTGACTATGATTGTGCGCAACTATTTTTAAAGTTAAATAAAAATCCTACTTGTGCTGTCATAATTGATTTAATTACTAAATCAATTAACTAAAATGATTTTTTTAAAATCCTACATGTGACAGTGTGTTAACCTCTTCATGCAACACAACTCTCAACAAATCATTTCTGTTCCAGGCTCTCCTTGAATTTCTCCAAAGAGTAATAGACAATAAAGAGACAAATAAGATGACTGTCATGAATACAGCCATGGTCATGGCCCCAAATCTCTTCATGTGCCACACGTTGGGTGTGAAGCCCAATGAACAGAGAGAATTAGCAATGGCAGCTGGCACAGCTAGTACCATGCACTTATTGATTAAGTACCAAGAAATCCTGTGGACCGTAAGTATCTATTTTTAAGTTGTGCTCATGACCGTATGATTCCCTAGCATGCTGGTTTATAGCAAGTTTCAACTTGACTTTGTAAAGCTCGTATAAAAATGCCCTATGCCTTGTTCTTTATTGGTGAACACACAGCGTTTTTGTTCCCAGCTCTATAAAATTGCTTTAAACTCGCAGAACATATTAAAGGCATTTTATTCCCATACATAAGGAGGCTCCGTGAATTGCTACTTTAACATCAGGAAACAAGCCTTGTAAAATTTACTTAGTGCTTATTTACCTCTCCCATTTTATTTTACCCCAATATTTAGACCTGTAGTATTTTAAAAATCTCATGCTACCTTGGAATCAGCTCATTGACGGTTATTTTTCATAGAGCACTTTTTAAAAGCACGTGTGCACATTGTGATAGTGCACACTCCTAGTTGTTGAGAATGTCTTGCAAATGGCTGCCCCGCTTTGGCTTTATTGTGAGCTTGAATCTTGACAGATAATCGGGGATCTACTTCTTGACAGCACACAAACAAGGTGGTGAATGTGAATGGACTTGGTAAAGGTGTCAGTGTGATTTCTAATTTTTTTAGAGAGGTGACTTAGGGGCATTTAGGAAAATGAGCTAAAGGAATTCCAAGTGAAATATCCTACCCAATAAATATCTCAGTCTTTTATTTGAGCACCCTGGACATGCTACGATATGGTGGAGCATACAGGAGGCAAAGTTTTGAAAACGTCTTACCATTACCAACCCCCTGAGGATGTGAGTCAGTGCTCGTGGTGGCTTAAGACTACAGCCTCAGGTGGGATCCAGGTCAATTGGCGTAACATAGTCTACAAAGACAGGGTTCTACTCCTACTTTGATGAACAGCAACTGGAGTCTTAAGAGCTTCCTAGTGACCATCTGAGATGTAACTGTTGATCTTCCTCAGTCTGGTGCAAAGAAAAATGAAGGAGATCGATCGATGATTCAAACACTTAGTCTGAAGGACGAATAGACCACGTGATTGTGATTGACAGCCTGAGACCAAAGAACTAAGAGGCTGTCTAGCTTGCTGACCACTCTGAGATAGTCCACAACACAGGTCCTAGACGAAGAGGAACAACCAAAAACAAAACAAAACAAAAAAATCATTACAAAGGCCAGAATTACTGGTCTGATAGACCAGCAAGGGCTCTCATTCACCACTAAGGCCGGTAACCTTCTGGGAGGAGCTCTCAGTCCAACAACAGAGAGCTAGACCTATGGAGTAAATAACACCAGCAGGGAAGCCTGCTTCTCAGTAGGCTCACCACAAAAGATCAACAGGGTTGCCTTTGCCTAAAACAAAGCTCTTGGCAGGAAACGGGAACAAATGAAAGGGAGCTTCTGGAAAAGAGGGTGCAGCGTGCTGTCCTGTTGAGGGGTGTCGCCGTGACGGAGGCACACTGCATCACTGGCTGAGTGGAAAACAAATTCGCTCTATGAACTTCGACCTGAACTACCGCGAAAGGCTTTTTTGAGCCCTCCCCTAGAACTTGACTCAGTGGGTGGTAATCGCGTCTGTACCCATCTGGGGTCAGTGAATAGCGGGCCATGTTCTTGCTTCACACGTTTGGTGAATGGTGGGTGGCAAATGATCAAATGAACAAAACCTTAACGCCTTTTGAAATTAAGACGTTAATTTAAAATGGTGCCTTGTGGTGTGTTTGGTTTTCTTCCCCAAACTTAATTTCATTTCTCTTTAGATCCCTAAGTTTATTGTAAACCAAGTGAGGAAGCAAAACACTGCAAGTCAAAAAAAGGATAAAAATGCCATGAAGAAATTACTGAAGAAAATGGCTTATGACCGGGAAAGACATGAAAAGCAAGAGAGGAACCCGAACGAGGTAGGGAGAATCTGGCAACGTGCCTCTGTAGCCCGTTCAGTACTGCTTTTACTCCCTCTCTGCCCCCAAAGAGAACGGTATGTGTTCCCAGGAGGACGGTCTGCACCCTACGCAGGCCGGCTCCTCCTCCTGAGGAGCTAAAGCCATCCGAGCAGGAACTTGACTTCTGCTCTTACAGATGCCCATGGTGACCGTGGTTGAGGTGCTGATGACTAAGAATATCCGTTGTTAAAGGGAAACCAAGAAAGATGATACGATCGGAACACACGCACACACACACCACCACCACCACCACCACCACCCACCCATCCCTATGGAGACCCTGGTTGCCCACAGCTTGTGGGATGTATAATATGGAAATAATGCCCTGGCGGACCAACCACCACTCCTCTTTTTTTCTCCCCTGTAAAATATGGGGAAACAATAGCTTAGTAACCCGCATAAACTTATAGGCTAATTTTTTTGGTTCCTCTTAGGATACCTGTACTTTTAATAAATAAAAGTTTTAATTTTGTCAGAAATGGATTTGGATAGAGTTCTCTTGGAACTTAAAGAAAGATCTTAATATCAGTGTTTGAAAGCTGCTCTAAGAATATATTAAGAAAAGAGAAATATACCGGAAGCACATTTATGAAGTTTTTCCGAAAGCTCGAACTTAGATGGTGGAATCCATTGTTCCGTTTGTGGCGCCTGAACCACTGCCAGTTAACATTTCCTTTGAGGTTGGTCAGTTAGGTGCTGACATCTAGTGGCATACTGTGGAAATGCAGTGCTCTCTTGGCATTTTTGCTCTGGCTTGCTTAACAAAAACCAAACGCACAGCCAATAAATGGATTCTGACCCACAGTGACCCCATACAGAGTTTCTGAGATTGTAAACCGCTATCAGAGCAGACAGCGCATCTTTCTTCCACACAGTGGCTGGTGGGTTGGAACCACTGACCTCCTGGCTAACAGGCCCAATGCCTAACCCATAGCACCACCACTGCTTCAGCTTAGGGATCCGGTGCTTGCATGTAATGTATAAATTTGTTGTTGTTGTTATTGTAGTAATCTAGGCAAGGGATGATAATGACTTAGACCAGAATGTTTTGGGGTTGAAGTAGGTTGACTTCTGGACATATTTCGAACCTGACTTATACGCGATTGGTTGATTGTGGAAATGAGGTGTGTTGTGAAAGAAAGAGAGGAGACAGGGGTCACTCCAAGGTTTGGGGCTTAAGAAATTGGAACCACGCAATTGCCATTAAGCTGTAACAAAGATCGTGATTTCAGTTCAGGACTGGGGTGTCTGCTCGACGTCCGAGTGGCAGTGGTTCAGGGTATTTGGAAAGAAACAGTTCATAGCGACTTGCCCCAGTGTATATGAGGAGTGGGCCAGAGGGAGGACAGAAGCCTTTGCTGCTGTGCATGGCAGGGGTCTGTTGAAAGATTGTGGCCGATTACCCGAATAAATGTGCATTTTACAACAGTCCTGGTGATGTCCTTGTGAGGGGGTCATTGGACACAGAAGCGTAGGTGTGGAGCCTTTGGCTAGTTGCTCGCATTCTTGATGGGAGTACAAGGGGTGCTACCCCTCTGGAGGGCAGTTGCCACAAAACAGAGGCTTGTCAGTCTTGCAGAAATTCCTTCAAAGGGAAGCTGCAAATATTTATGCTTCGATTCACAGCCATTTTGTTTTTACTGGCCCCAATTAGAAGTGATCTAAAAGACTATACAACCGCTGAAGACAAAGCAGGTGAATAAGCAAATGTGGTGAAGAACGCTGATGGTGCCCGGCTATCAAAAGATATAGCGTCTGGGGTCTTA